CACATTAACAGAAACATTCAAATGGTCCCAGAAATTTTATAATTGAAACCTTTTATTGCCATCAATTTAGTTATTAAATAATATTTAATTTTAATACACGAACACTAAATTATTTGAATGAAACGGTCATATCTGACTGCTGTGAACCACTTTCAACCAAGTTAAAAAATCACTGATATCAAGTCTGATTGAAAACACACTTTCCCAAGTTTAAACAACAAGCAGTGGACAAGACTGAATTTCTGTTTTTTGAGCAGGAAAATAAGCTGTTGTATGTGGGGGGCTGTATGTGGGGGGGCTGTAGCGACAAAGAGGTCAAAAACATGGAAGTAAACTGAGCCATGTTTACCTGCAGTTATCATGGGATTTGTAGTTTAGTTATGACCAGTAGCAAACTTAGCCCTTCATGAAGACAGATCAGGTCAACCTCTGATTACGACTCTTAACTTTATTTATTTATGCAGCCAACAGTTCTCAGGAATGATCAAAGGTAGAAAAAATTAAGACTTTACAAAATAAAATTAAAGATTTTGGGTGAAAATCTGGACGTTTTTAAGACTTTTTTAGGCCTAAAATTATGATTTTCAAGTTTTAGACTTTTTACGACCCTGCATGAACCCTGGATAGGCCCCGCCCCCGCCACACCATAAATCTCACCGTTCAGCGTGACCTCGAAGGCTCCCGTGGACAGGAAGTGGGTTTCCATCATGTTACAGACGAAGAACGCCATCAGACACGAGAAGATCTGGAAACACAGAAACACTCGGTCCGTCACAGCGGTCAGCACCTGTCGTCCACAGGAGGTTCTGGTACCTTGTTGTTCTGGGTCCAGGTCCAGGCTGCGGGGGTGGTGTGGCCCAGGAGGGGGAAGGGGTTCTGGCCGCTGACGATGAGGAGGATGGAGAGCAGCTTCAGGTAGGAGATCAGGTTACCCATGTAYCTGAGGAGGAGGAGGAGCATCAACAACCACACCTCAGGGCATAACAAGGTAAGAATGACGTCATAGCTCACCTGTTGAAGGGGGTTGGGGGGTAGTTTTCTCCCTGGATGCGAATATCCGGATACACCTGGCTGATGGCGTGGGAATATTCCTGGAAGACTTTGCTGTAACCTCAGGAGATGCTGACAACACACAGAGGACACACCTGTCAGGTAAGCCCCGCCCCCCGCTCAGGTAAACCCATTAAAAAACATCATTTTTTTCTGCTAATTAAAAACATTTAACGGAAACTTCAATCATTTCCAGCAGGTCACGTGATTTCTGATAAACGTCACGTGGTCCTCGTTCAGAACAGAACCCGTCCGTGGTTCTGACTTCACCTGTCAGGTGTCAGAACCACTCCACTCACCAGTATCGGAACCGGAGGACCGGCCCGGTGTACAGCGCGGCCTTGGCTGCTTTCCCGGGCTCGGTAACCGGCTCGAGGTTCGGCTCCGTGTCCGAGGACGAACCGGGCCGCGGGTTCGACCTGCCGACGTAAACGTCCCGCAGCGTGAGGGCMGTGAAGAGCAGCAGAACCGCGAGCAGGCCGGTTGGACCGAACTCTGCCATGTCTGCGGCCGTTTCTCTTCCTTTCTTCTTCTTCTGTGGTTTTAACCGAGTCTTGTCTGTCAGAGCGCCTCCTCCTGGTCGACCCGGAGCCCTGCAGCCTGAAGCCTGGAAGATGTGATTTATTATGATGATTAATAATTATTAATC